CCCATTCCCCCTCCCTTGCCCTTCCGCCCTCCCCCCCCCACCCCCCTTCTCCTTCAGATCCCCTCGACTCATCTTCCAGCCCTCCGCCCCCCCCCCCTTCCTCCTCTCTTCAGTCTCCCTCGCTTGTTGATAAAGACAGACCCCTGCTGTGTGCGAGCGACGGGGCATCTCAAGTATGGCGATGAAAACGAAAACCTCGGCTGCAGCGAGATGGTGCTGGCTAATGAACAGAGGCTTCACTCGGTGCAAAACGTTCATTTCATAAGTTTGATGTTTGATGAGTCTGGATAATTAGTTTTTGCTTGATGTAGCGGTAAGGGCACTCAGTCTCGACGGATAATGGGGTGAGTTATTATTGGCCGGTTTCCCTCAAAAGCGCCTCGCATTTTGATTCTTTGGATTTCGCAGACTGTAATCTTATTCATCGGGCGCGTTTGGTGGCCTGGATTGTTTTCATCATCTCGAGTTGTTGATAATAACTTAAAACGAACACTGTAGCTTATCAGTAAAATTGTTATTACCTAAGAGGTTTCTGATAAAGGCAAAGGCTACACCATCCATAACTTATCCTCAAAATGTTTTTGTTTACTTCACCTCTGAGGACTCGCGCCGGTCCTGAGCAGCATCCGGGAACAGCTTGCCTGTTTACCGGCTAATTCCATTGTAATGTGTCCTACATCACGCCATGATGATGATACCTGGAACCAGGGCCTCGGTTTAATGAGCGTTATTATTGCAGTTTTTATTGCGAACACCGTTATGACGACTCATTTCGGTTTGATGTAGACTTTGCACGCAGCAATTGATCGCGGCCGAGCAGTGAATGCTCGCGTTATACATTTGTACTATGAGCTCGTCTAAACTCATTTCTGGATACTCATTACGGATCGAAATGGCAAACGAATAGCACATCGCACTCTCCCTTCAATTCTGATCCCCTTTTTCCTCGCCTCTCACGTCATCGCTTCATTTCTCCCCCTGCCCTTTGTCCTCTCTTTCACTACGACCTCCTACCCTCGTGTCTTGCCTAAACTGCGCTCCCCGTAACCGCATCAGGCCCACACATCCTTTCCTTTCCAAATCACCCGTATTGGAAGGTCCACAGGATGTATAAATAAGTGACCGACGGCACACACGGGTCAGCTGTATGGCTGGTTGAGTGGATGTATGGATGGCTGACGACAAGTGCGGCAAGTTAAAAGATGGCTGAAGGGTTGGCAGGATGTATAGGTGGCAGTGTACTTGAGTCGTGCGTTTAGGGGGAGCGGCTGGTGGAGTAGGTAATGTTCTTTTGCTGCTTTCCATCAGTATGACTTCACTCTGCACTAGCTGTAGTACCTGTCTTGTTGCCCAGCACCTGGTCTGGCCAGATAGGAAAAAGAAAGAGAAAGAGAGAGAGAGAGAGAGAGAGAGAGAGAGAGAGAGAGAGAGAGAGAGAGAGAGAGAGAGAGAGAGAGAGAGAGAGAGAGAGAGTATAGCAGCATCAACTAAGAGCTTTCCTAAAACCACTGCCTTGACGCATCAAAGGTCTCGCTTCGCAAAAGAAAATTATCCTTAGGGCGCTGGACAAAGGCAAACACGTGACCTCCGCGCAGACGGTAATTCGGCATCAAAACCATTTCCGCGGCCATCTTGGAAGTCCTCCCTCCCGATAATTTTCAGGAAGAACTTCCGAGAATCGAGGGCCGGGGCAGGACGTGAGACGCGGCCCGTCCCCGATGCCTGCAGGTGAGGAGGAGGCCAACTTCGGCGGGTCTTTGCGTCGGGCCTCGGCGGGGCATTCTCTCTGCCTTGCCCCTTCGGCCCGCTTCTCGCTTCGTTCCAGGAAGGAGTTTCACGACCTCTCTCTCTCTCTCTCTCTCTCTCTCTCTCCTCTCTCTCTCTCTCTCTCTCTCTCTCTCTCTCTCTCTCTCTCTCTCTCTCTCTCTCTCTCTCTCTCTCTCCTCTCTCTCTCTCTGCTCTCTCTCTCTCTCTCTCTCTCTCTCTCTCTTTCTCTCTCGCTCTCTCTCTTTCTCTCCTCGCGCCTTTCTCTTTCTCTCGCTCTCTCCCTTTCTCTCTCTTCTCTCTCTCTCTCTCTCTCTCTCTCTCTCTCTCTCTCTCTCTCTCTCTCTCTCTCCTCTCTCTCTCTCTCTCTCTCTCAACTCACGTCAACTCACTCACTCACTCAATCACTCACTCAGGCTCACTCACTCACTCACTCACTCATCACTCACTCACTCACTCTCACTCTCTGCCTCTCTCTCTATCTCTCCCTCCCTCTCTCTCCTCCCTGTCTTTTATCATCTTTCTCTCTCGCCGAGCTCATGTTTCGTGTTGACATCTCGATGTGCATTTCGCGAGAATAAATGAAGTCGTGACGGAGGTGTTTCGGGCTGGTGTTACTTCGACGAAAGGAAGAAAATTTGAATAATCAATAAAGTCGCATCTTGGAGCGCACGACGAGGGAAGGAGGAAGAGGAGGAGGAGAAGAGGAAGAAGGGAAGAGGAGGNAAACACACACATAAACCACACCACAAAACAAAAAACCCCCGCCCCCAAAAAACCAAAACCCAAAAAAACAACCAAAATTTTAAAAAAACAAAACCCAAACACCAACAAGAACCCCCACACAAACAAAATTAAACACAAAACCCTCCCAAACAAACAAAAAACCAAACAAGACAAACGCACAAAACCATCACAATAAAAACCGAACACCACACAAAATTGAAAAACCCACACTCACAAACACACCCAAACTCACCAATTAAACCAATACACAAAACACAACAATTCCATACATATAAAAATTAGAATTTAAAGACAGATAGATTAAGATTTGATTGGATTTGGTTTGAATAGATAATGTTATATAGAAAAAGAATAATAGGAAAATAAATAAATAGATTAGATATAGAATTATACATTCTAAACGTTCTAAATTCCATCTCCTACCATATCATCCTATTCTGATACATCAAGCGCCAACCTCTTTTCCCTCTATGTGGTGTAAAATATTTAAATATCTATATCTATATCTACAACAACACATACAATACAGCTAATGCACACGCACACAAACACACACACCACACACAGACTCACACACGCACACACACCACAACACAGACACACACACGACCATACACAGAGAAAGAGAAAGAGACAGGCAGAGAGAGAGAGAGAGAAGGAGACAGACAGTGAGAAAGAAAGAGAAAGAGAGATAGGGAGTAGGGTTAAAAGTGAATAAGTAATTGTCAAGAAAGAGGTGACGCCAGAAAAGAGAAGAGAAAGGGGAGAAAGAAAGAACACAACAGGAATAAAACGATAGGAGATCAACGAAAAGGAGAAATAGAAGAGAGAGCTTGATAAAAGGAAACATAAAAGATAATGAGAAAGACGGAGAAGAAAGCGAAGCGAAGCGAAGACAACGACATGAAGTTAATTCACTCGGTGATTATAACGAACACTGCAAGAGCAACGATGAAAATAAAAATGATAATGATATTGATAATTACGAGGATGTCAAAGGAGGAATAATCCTTGGGAGAATCCGGGAGAGGACTATAACGAGGAAAAAGGAGGAGGAAGAGGAGAAGGAGGAGGAGGAGGAGGAAGAAGAAGAAGAAGAGGATGATGATGATGAGAAGGACTAAAAGGAGGATGAAGAGGAGAATATGGAGAAGGAAGAAGAAGAGGGGGAGGAGGAAAAGGAGAAAAAGGTGGAGGAAGAGGAAGAGGAAAAAGAGGAGGAGGCGGAAGAAGAGGAAAAGGAGGAGAAGGAGGAAGAAGAGGATGAAGAGGGAGAAGAGGAGAAGAGGAAAAGGAGGAGGAAGAAGAGGAAAGGAGGAAGAAAGGAGGAGGAGGAGGAAGAGAGGAAAGAGTAGAAGGGAGGAGGAGGAGGAGGAGGAGATGGAGGAAGAAGAAGAAGGAGGAGAAGGAGACAGTGGATGAGGAGGAACAGGAGGCGGAGAGGGAGGAGGAATAAAATGAGGAAAAATGCGAAAAGAATGATGATGGTAATGCTAACGAAACATGAGGAGGAAGAAAAGGAGAAGGAGGAGGAGGAATAGAGGAAGACGATGAAAAAAAATGATGGTAAAGATGACGAAGGGTAAGAAGGAGGAAGGAGGAGGAGGAATAAAAAGAGGAAGAAACTAAAAAAGAATGATGATGGTGATGACAGCGAGGGAGAAGGAAGAGAAAGAGGAGTAGGAAGGGTAGAAATATAAGGAAGAAGAAGATGAGAAAATGAATAAAAGAAAGAAGGTACTAAAAAAAATATGATGATGATGGTAATGAGGAAATGGAAGAGAAAGATAATAATAGTGGAGCAGGAGAGGGAAGAAGAGAATAATGAAGAAATGGAGGATGAAGACGGAACGAGGAATAAGGAATGGGGCAAAAACAGAAGGAGAAGGGGAATAAAAGGAAGGAGAGAAAAGAGGAAAGGAGGGGAGAGAAATATAGTAATGAAGGGCGAATGGATAAGAAAGATGAATGGAGGAGAAAGGAAGAAAAGGAGATGAAGTAAAAAAAAAAAGAAATGAAGGAATGAAATAAAAGCAGAAAAGGAAGGATGGTGGAAGGAAGAGAAGGAGAGAAGTGGAATAAATAGGAGATAAAGGAGAAAGAGGGAAAAGAAGAAGAGGATGAAAAGGAGTTGAGAAGGGAAATTTAAAAAAGAGGAAGAGGAGAAGGAGAAAGAGGAATAAGAGAAAAAAGCGGAAAAAGGAGAAAGAGTAATAAGAAGAAGGGAAGAAAGAGTAGAAAGAAAAGTAAAAAAAAGAGGAAAATAAAAAGAACAAAAAGAGGCGGAAGAAAAGTTGGAAGAAGAGAAGAAGAGGAAATAAAGAGAACGAAAAGAGTAGGAAGAAAAGATGGAAGAAGAGAAGAAGAGGATATCAAGAGAACGAAGAAAGGTGGAAGAGGAGGAGAAGGAGAAGCGTATGGCAGAGGGAGGATGTTGTTACAACTGCAAGATTGTTGTTCACCCTCAGGCCTAGTCAAGAGGGCGCGGGGGGGGGGGGGGTATGGCGTCTCTCGACTCCTCCACTCCCCTCACCCTCACCCCGTCCCCTCGCTTTTCCCCTCCCCCCGTCCCCTCGCTTCTCCCCTCCTCCTCCCCTCCCCTCTCCTCTCACCCTCACCCCGTCCCCTCGCTTCTCCGGCCTCTCCTACCGCTGCGTTTAATAGATGATATGCTGGAAGGGAGTAAGAGCGGAAGGCAGGGACGTACACACACGCACACGCACGCACACACGCACACGCACGCACACGCAACGCACACACACACTCACATACACACACAACACACACACAAACGTACATGCACACACTCACACTCACACACCACACACACAACGCACACTCTCACACTCAAAACGCACCAAACCCTCACGTGCGCACATTCATGTACAGCAAAACACAGAACAGATAAACAGAAACAGAAAGAGAATCTATGACGTATTCAGCGCAGGAAAGAGGCTCACTATAAAAGAGATAAACACGCAGTAGTGATTAAAAAGTATTAGCAATGAATATTTAAAGATCGTTGCAACACGCACACATGTATGGTGAAATTTTGTCGGATTTCGAACCTCCTTTCGATAAACCTTATAAGAGTTTGGTGTTTTTTTCTACCTGTAGTACCAGTGCATATGTATATGTATATGTTATATATGTATTATATATTATTATATATATATATATATATATATATATATATATATATTATATATAATATATATATATATGCATATATATGTATATACGCGCACACACACAGAATGAGAGATAGATACATAGATAGATAGATAGATAGAGAGAGAGAGAGAGAGAGAGAGAGAGAGAGAGAGAGAGAGAGAGAGAGAGAGAGAGAGAGAGAGAGACAGAGAGAGACAGAGACAGAGACAGACAGACAGACAGACGACAGAGAGAAGAGAGCGAGCGAGCGAGAGAGAGAGAGAGAGAGAGATAGAGAGAGATAGAAGATAGATAGAGATAGATAGATAGATAGAGAGAGAGAGAGAGAGAGAGAGAAGAGAACAGACAGACAGACAGACAGACAGACA